CAATATTCCACAGGCTGGAAAGAGAGAAGGGTCCCACTCTGAGATTAATTAGCTGGCACTAACAAGAGTGTGTTCAATAATGAACAGAAAAATCACCAAAGGAGCCATGCTTCAGCAGATCCCAGGTGTGGGATGCAGCCACATCTCAGCTCCAGGTTCCTCCTGCAGCTCCTTCCGCAGCTCAGCCACAGCTGCAGCAAACACCCCCAATGCTCTGGGACAGGGATGAGATTCCCAGCCCTGGGAAAGCTCCCAACCATCCCCCCCACATGGAGCTGCTGGTCCTTGGGTGCCCTTTGTGGTGTCCCATGGGCCTGACAGGGCACTCACTCGTTAATCCTGGCAGCACCTTGCAGGATTTCCTGCCTCTAGCAACACCAGGAATCACAGAATCTCCTGAAGGAATCCACAGGGATCAGATATCCCAACAAACCCACCCTGTGCATCCCTGGAGTGTTGTCTAAATGCTCCTGGAGATCCAGCAGTCTCAGAACTGTGACCACTTCCCCTCCAGGGAAGGAAAATGTGGTGGATTTTTTGCTTCAGTGCCTTCACTGGAAGCAGGCAGGGATGCTCCCAGCCCAGGGAAGCTGTGGGATCAGTCAGTGTTAGTGCAGGGGACAGAGCCAGCTCTTCCTCCTTCCCTCCACCTGGTCCTGGCAGCTCCCAGCCCCTGCTCCTCAGGAAGGAGCCACAGCATCTCCTGTCACAGCTCCTCCCTGCCAGAGCCTCTCCAGATCAAAGCCTGGGTCCAGGATACAAATCCATACGTCATTATAGACTTGCTCCTGCTGATAGCCAGCACACACAAACATTGCCTCAGGATGGAAAAAGCCTGGAGTCCAGAGGCACACCCACTACATCCCTTTTATCTGGGTCACTGGATTGCTTCTGTCCCTCCATAACCTGTCAGGAAACACCTCCTGTGTCCACGGAGGAGCTTCCCTGTGTCCCGAGCTCCCCGGGCTCGTGGGGCTGGAGCGGGAAGGTGAAACACGGAATGCTGAGATCAGCCACGGCTCTGTGCTGCTGGGATGGGGAATGTTGCCATGGTGATGGCAGCTCCCGAGCCTCTGCAGAGCCCAGCTGGATCCACGGACACGCTGGGATGGATGCCCAAGGACACCTCGGGGTGCCCAGGGCACATCCCAGTGCCCCCGTGGCTGGGCTGTGTCCCAGGAGGGGCCTGGCTGCACTCAAGGACATTCCTGCTGCTCCCGTGCCAGGCAGGAAGATTTCGGGAGCGATTTCCATACGCAGCTGTGCTGGCCTGATAAAATGACACCGAAATAGTGCAGTAAATTATAGTGACAGGAGCCATCATCTGCACAGCCCGCACGTGCCGCCTGCCCGGGCTTTCTTCCCCGAACAAAGCTCTGCTCTGCACAGCTAATGAGCCTGTGGGAGCCTTTCCAAGGGCAGGAAAAGCAGCAGAGCTTCATGGCAGCTTTTTTATTTTTATTTTTATTTGCATGATTAACATTAGAGCTGCTCCATTTGCATTCAGGGTGACAATAACAGAGCTGGCAGGAGCACAGGTACAGCAAATAAACCCTAAAGCACCACATGAAGCAAGCTCAGCTGGGGCTCCTGGAGTGACCCTTTGGTGTGATGTCCCTGCTGCCATATGGGGTTTGTGACACTGGACACAGCTCTCACTTGCTGGATTCTCCTGGAGCCAGCAAGTTGCCACGGTTAAATCACATCACATCTGCTCACTGACTGCGTTGGGGCAGAAGGAAAATTACAGCCTGGAATCTCACTGACATTTTACCATGGAAAAAAAGGTTGTGAAAGATAAATCTAAAGGTGAAGACATCCCAGAGACGTAGAACAAAGAAAATAAAATTATCTACTTAAACTAGCAGTCAGTTTTAATTCAGTTTAACCAACCTCGTAAGCACCATTATACAAAGGCAGCAGCACTGTTTGGAGGGTTAAGGGTCACTGGATGATGAAGCTCTCCAGATAATTACTGAATCCCTTCTGGAAGCCTCCTGATTTACAGGACAGCCATAAGCCACAGAATACACATCATTAGAAAAAGAGCAGCCAAATGTGGATTCTTTCACTTACACTCATTCCTGTGCAGAGGAAAATACCCCTGGGTCCCAGGCTGGGATCAGCTGCTCTAAGGCTGCTCCTCACATCTGCCTCAGCTTGTGTCACACAAGTGCCCATTGTCACAGCACTACATTTCTTCTTCTCTTGTCTTTCCCTTTTCCTAAATTCAAATCTGGGGAACTCCAGTGCAACAGAAGGTTCAGCTATTTAAAAGAAAATCAAATCCTTCTAGATGTGCTCACAGTTTGCCTCCCTCAGCCTTTGATCCTCACAGGCAAAACTACAGAAGGAAAAAAGAGCAAGAATTAAATTTCCCTGTGAGCTGTTAATGAACAATTGAAAGCAAGTTGAGAGCAGAAATGACAGGCAAAATTGCCTTGATGCTTTCAGAGCTCAGAGAAGGTCTCATCAGATCCCTCCTCTTTGATTTTTGATTGTTGACTGTACCTTTTCCAGCACTGCCCAACTCTGCCGGCCCCATCTGCCGGCAGCAGAGCCAGGGAGGGATCCCAGCCAGGCCTGGAGCAGAGTTAACAGGAAACAAGAGAAACACTGAAAATGGAGACAAAGACAAGCTTTTTCCAGGTAGATTTAACATGGTACAAGGTCTCTAATCCATACCTATAGATACCAGCTCAACGCCTTCTCTTTAGCTGATGGGCTGTTCAATAAGCATTTAGTGATTCACTGAGTGTTTCTTGGTTTAGCTGCAAGATCCAGCACCCTGAAAAGCTTCTCTGCATCCCCTTGTCAGCCCCATTTGAGTGCCTCCAGTGAGTGAAAGCAGAGAGGGTTCAGCTACAGGGAAGGAGCTCCAGGAGGACATCCAGATTTCTCCAGAGTCCTCAGTACCTTCAACACTGTTTGTCTTTTCCCCACAAATCCTTTATGAGGTAAGTTAGAACTTCCGGAAGACTTCTCACGAAAAAGTAACAACAAAAAGATGCCTCCATGTCCTGCTTCAGTCCTCAGGTAGACTCATGTAGGTCCCTCCCCACCCCAGGGAGAGCAGAACACAGGGGAGGGAGGTTTGTGAAGCCACAGGACAATGTGCACCAGCATTTTAATTTCTATCACTTTTGCTGACTGTGGCAACAAGGAAACCCCCAGAAGCACCACAGTTATTCTACATCTGATGCCACAAAACCCACTGCAGCAAAACCCTTTGTGGAGCAAAGGAGATGATCCATTACACCTAAGCAGGTTATTTACCTTCCAGCCCTGCTGTCTTTGATGCTGAGCCCACTCCAGATCCCAGCCCAGACAATGTGATTCTGGAGCTGGCAGCAAACTCACAAAACTGACAAGTTGCTGTTAAAACTGTGCCTCTCACTGGATTTATCTGAAGGAGGAGCTTGGAGCTCACCGAGCCATGATCTGCTCCCACAGCAACACAGCCTGGGGCTCTGAAATTATTCTCCAGTAGCTGCACCTTGCAATTTCCAAAAAGGTCACCCTCAATTGCTCCCTGGTTTAATATGAAAGCTGGAGTCACCTGGGAGCAAGCAGTCCCCCTTGCAGCTTTATTCCACAAGATGTTCATTAGCTCACCCCATTCCTGGGAAGAAAGAGACTCTGGTTAGAGCTGTGGTCCTGTGACCTCCCTGAAACCATCCATGTGGCTCCAGGCAGGAAATTCCTTCCTAGAACCCCTGGTGAGCACAGGGGAAGCACAGCTAAGGATCCAGGAACACCTCCCAGGCAGCCCCAGAGATCAGCCCCAGGCCAGCCCAAGAGCCCAGGTCAGATGGAGCTTCTGGAAAAGCACTCCCCTTTCCAGGGAGGGAAGGTAGGAGAAGATGTTGATAGTCCAAGGAAGCTCAGCAGCAGTACATGCTCAGAACAGGGAACAAAACTCTGAACCATAAAGCTCAGAGGAAGGCAGGGCCTGCATCCTCCACAGCCTGAGCTTGGCCTTTCCAGAAAAACTCACTGCACACAAAAGGTGTAAAATAAACCATTCAGCACAACAAATACCAAGAGACTAACCCTAGACTTGATGCTTTCTGCTCCCTTACTGGTCAAACTGGTTGGGTTTCCAGGGAGAGAATCACATCCAATGCACTGAAGACACTACAAATATGAGTGTTCCACAGAAGTCAGAGCTTCCAGGGGGAACTTCTCCATTCAGGCTCTTCCCCATTCAGTCTGTCAGGTTTGGAGAGTTTGTGCAAACCTCTGGTCCCTGCAGAGCTTTTGCTCTGTCAGTTTTTTACACCCATCTGTCAGCAGTTTCTATTTATGAGGGACAGGAATGGGTTCAGAGGTTCTGTTCTTTCCTAGGTTCCAAGAATTTCACAGAAGATACACATTTTAAGAAATTAGTTTCTAAAAGTCTTGGACTAATCCACTTTGCCTGGCAGGGCAAAGTCAGCCCCACCATTTCTCCTCTTTGCCAGACATCTCACTTGTACAGACACAGTCTTCAGCAAGTGCTAACACCAGAGAATCACAGGATGGTTTGTGTTAAAAGGAACCTGAAAGCTCCCCCAGCCATGGGCAGGGACACCTTCCACTTGACCTCTCCACTTGATACCATCCAGCCTGGCCTCGGACACTTCCAGGGATAGGGCAGCCACAGCTTCTCTGAGCATCCTGTGCAGGGAGTGGTAGGATTGGGCTTTAAGGTCCCTCCTGATCCAAACCTGCCTGGAATTCTGTAATTCCACATTTCAGCCACAAAAGTCCCTCAAGCTCCCAGGCATCCTCCTTCCACTGAGAAAAGAGCAAGCTTTTAAACAGTGATAAACAACTTTTTAGGTGCTACAGCTCCCACCACACCAAGGCTCCAGAGAGCACCATGGAAAGAGTCCTAAAAATATCCAGCAGTGACCAAAGTGCAGAAGTCTGGAATCTGTGCAGCAACAGAGCCAGAAAGGAGAGCAAGGGTGGTTTAAGGAACTGGAGCTGAGTTTCTGAGGCAGTGGAAGCTTTACCTTCTGCAGGAAGAGGACGATCCTGACGAGCATCTTGGCGTGCAGCTCCTCCAGGGTGAACAGAGTCCGTGGTGTGCGGATGAAGAGCTTGGTCTTGCCGTAGGCCACGTCGTGCTGGAAGCCGTGGCACTCGATGAGCTTCCTCACAGCCTCCTTGTCTGAGGGGAGGTCGTGGTTGGGCCAAGTGAATTCTGAGATCATCTTGTACCTGGAATTAAAAGGTACAATTTACAAATGTGAACTTGTCACCCAGATGCTAGAGAAGGCCAAGCTTCAACTGGTTTTAGAAAAAATTATCAACTAAATTGTAATAAAACTGAGTATAGATGGAGGAGTCTGAAGATATCCTCTGTAGGAATCATGATCCTCAAAATACAAGGAAAATTACTAAAGAAGAGGCATGATTTTGTGAGATGCTGCAAAATAATATTGGGAGGAGCTCAATTCATCAGCACTGAACTTATGCAAAGGAACAAAGTCACCACTGGCCTCCTGCAGATTTGTCTGTTCCATTTTTTACACCTTCAATATCCAATTCTAATTTTTATTTGTTTGCTTAGGTTTTGTTTGTTTGTTTTAGTTTGGGGCTTTTTTGTAAGGAAGGAAAGCTTTGTTTTGTTCACAGCCTGCATGAGAAGCCACCTCCAACCAATTGCTCTGGTAGAAAACCTGGATTTAAAAATTCTGCAAATAATTTTTTTCTCGTGCATCACTTTGGGAGTAATCTCTAACAAATTGTGTCACTTCTCCCCACAGCAGAGCTTTGGCTGCCCTAGTCTGTGCAAACATTGCCTGTAACTGTGGGTCAGCCATTCCTCCCATCCTCACTCCCCAAACTCCATTTTCCAGAACAGAGAAATGCAGACATCTACATCTACAAATCAAACCCGAAGTACCGGGATCAGCCCAAGCTCTGTAAGATTTACCAGCCCAGCAAATGCTGATTAGGGGAACAGGCGTTTGCAAAAAGCAACAGTGAATCTTCTGCCTAAGATTTATGGACATAATAAGAGCTGTAATAGAGTTTTCCCTGGAATGGAACTCGCAGCCACTCTGCAATTCTAAATAAAACAAGCATTAAGCGAGCTCAGCCACTTTGCACTTCAAAGCCCGCAGCCAAGGCAGGTATCAATCTCAAAGCTTCAGACACTCTCAGCTCTCAGTTACACTTAAACGACCTCACAATCACCCTTTTCCTGGGAAGAGCCTCCAAGAGCCTGAATGGAAACACATCCCAGCGCCCATTCATTCCTCAAATTAGCCTTTGGAAGGGGGGAAATGGAGGTGCACACTGCTTAAGCAGGGAACACAGTCCCCAGGGGTTACAGGGATCTCACTGATAAATAAACAGGATTAAAACCTCCCCTCAGACTCCCAGAAGATTTAGCACGTGCTGGCAAAAGCATTTCTGCTCTTTCTCTCTCTCTCTCACACACACACACACACACATGAGACATCAACGCTGCACATTGGATTCTCTGCCCTGTTCTCATCAGGAAAATGTTCCTGCAACAATTCACTCCCTGGGAAACATCTCTCACCTGGAGACACTTATGTTAGGGGAAAGAACAAATAAAAGAGCAAAGCACTGGCAGTGCAACCCCCACGAGATGGGAACAAGGCTGGGAAACAGGCAAGGACCCAGGCTGTGGATCAGGTTCAGACCCAGGCTGTGGATCAGGTTCAGACCCAGGCTATGGATCAGACTGGGACCCAGGCTGTGGATCAGGCTGGGACCCAGGCTGTGGATCAGGCTGGGACCCAGGCTGTGGATCAGGTTCAGACCCAGGCTATGGATCAGGTTCAGACCCAGGTTGTGGATCAGGTTCAGACCCAGGCTATGGATCAGGCTGGGACCCAGACTATGGATCAGGTTCAGACCCAGGCTATGGATCAGGTTCAGACCCAAGCTATGGATCAGGTTCAGACCCAGGCTATGGATCAGGTTCAGACCCAGGCTGTGGATCAGGCTGGGACCCAGGCTATGGATCAGGTTCAGACCCAGGCTATGGATCAGGCTGGGACCCAGACTATGGATCAGGCTGGGACCCAGACTATGGATCAGGTTCAGACCCAGGCTATGGATCAGGTTCAGACCCAGGCTATGGATCAGGCTGGGACCCAGGCTATGAGCCAGGCCTACCCCATCAAGGAGCTCAGGAGAGAAGGGATGTCACAGCACTGAAAACCTTCCCCAGATGTTAAATCCTTCTGCTCCTTCCCACAGGCATTAAGGACACCCCAGTGCCGATGGTCCCCTCCCTCCCAGGCACAGCGGGTGGAATATCCCAGCTGTCCCTCTGTTCCCACTGTCCCCACTCGTGCCACACAACGCCACCAACTCCTTCCCTGGATGCCACAGCCACTCACAATCCTGGCCTGGTGCTAATTATAGCCAGGCAGACTGTGGAATAAACCTGCTCCCTGACACCACAGCCCTGCCCCTCTCCTGCCTGCGGATCCCCGCAGCTTCCAAGGTCACTCAGACATGGAATACCCCCTTCCAAACACCTTTGTTTCTCCTTCCCCTCTGTGCCTCCCTATGAAACACCCAACAGGGATGAGGCTGCTCCTGGAGTTAACATTTCCCAGTCCAGCTCTCCTAAGAACCAAGATTTCTGGAAGCCACTAAATGGTGGTGGGCCTCACTGTCCCTTCACAGCCTGATGTTCACAGCTCTCAGTATTCATTCCAAGCTATGTTTGACATGGCCTGGGGTAGGCATATGGATGCCTCCGTGTGGAAAGGGTTGGATTCCATTCACAAACCCTTTCCCTAAACCAAATCAGCTTTTTTTAAATGGTAATTTATACATTAAACCAAGAGAATGCACTCCATCTGTGTAAGTGCCATGTGTATCACCCAACTGGATGATGATCACAGCAAGGACAGCTTGTCCTGGTCCATCAGAAAATACTTCAAATGGGAAAGGGCAGACTGGCTTTCACAGAGCTCAAAGGAAGGTTTTCTTTATCCAAGGAAAGCTTGAGAAGGACATTTATAATGGTCTTAACTGTGCTTCACTTCATTCCCTACTGAGAGAGAGCAGATATCACCTACCTTACAGGATTTAGGGCTAAATATCAACAAACTCTTCTCCTACAGAAAGAGAAGTTATTTTTCTGGTTTTATGTTTCTCCTTTTTTTAATTTAGAAAAGCCATTGCAGACAAGGCTTGGAGCAGCACCACACACACGGTGTCTGATCCCTCACTCTGGATGTCAAATCCCTCTCCAGGCCTGGGCAGGACTTCTGTTCCAGCAGCCCAAAAGCTGAAGCAGTTGCCATGTGCTGATTTGGCTTCCTGGCTGCAACCACTGTCGGGATCTCATCAAACATTCATTAAAAACAAAGCAGACGTTTATAGTAATAGTGATTACACAAATATTAAGAGTAAACTGTAATGAATTCCACATGTGAGGTAAAGTGCACTCTATCCACTGCAGAATGGTTCAGGAAACTGATCCCCAGCACTGCAGACTGGATTTAGAAAGCCAGAGTCTTTCAGTCCACCTTGGGTATTATGATATATCCAGGCAAATCTCCACTGTGAACAGCAAAAGATCTTTCACCAGCACTTTATTTCTAACTCATGACATCCCACCTGCTTGGATAGTTTAATATTTTTCTATTCCCACAGCCCTTTTCTCACCTGATTCAATAACAGAACAAAAACTCCATTCACTGTTCCATCAGAGTACGTTGAACTTGCAGGGCCCACATTAATTTAGTGGAGCCTTAAGACAAATTTCAATCTAAAACATGTAATTTGTCACATGTCTGGTAGGAATTAAGAGGGCAAGAAGAACAAAAAACATTTAATGGGGTCATGATACCATCCCCCTTTTCAGACTTTCGGTTTTAAAGTCCAGGGGTTTTTCCCACATAATGTCACTATGCACCATCATGTGCTCCCCCAGACACACCACCTCTCGCTGCAACAATTCAGAGAGAAAACACCAGTTAATTAGCTCAGGTTTCAGGGTGGTACTCAGGGGAAGCTCCTCATTACACATTCCCACTGCAGACCAACACAGGCAGTGAGTTTCAGCAGACAAGGAGCAGCACAAGCACCTTGGCACAGCTGAAGCAGAGCAGCCAGGCTCCTGTGGGATCTGATTTGAGGCAGGCACAGCCCGAGGAGCTGGGCAGTGCCCGGCAGCCTCTCACCTGTGCAGGAACTTCTCGTAGGTCTGGCGGTAGGCGAAGCCGGCCCGGCGCACCCGCACGTTCTCCAGCAGCCCCAGGTACTCCACCTGGTGCCGGCACCGCTCCTCGTCAAAGAGCTGCGGAGACTTCTTGTCGTTGGGCTTGATGCAGCGCACGTAGTAGGGCTCCTGGGGACAGAGGACAGCAGTGTCACCCTGGCAGAGGACCCTGAGTGCAGACACAACCCTTCTGCAGCAGCTGTGAGCCCAGCCCACGAGGTCTGGCTGCTGGGGGAAGAACCTGAATTACACCTGGACTTGGATGCTGGGAAAGAGCCCAGAGCTGTCAAGGTGGATGAGCAGCACTTTTCCCCTTCCCCTCCTGCTGATCTTCACCCTGGGCCACTTCCCCATCCACACCATGCGGGACAAACCTCTCTCTGTGTCACGAGCAGGGTCACCAACACCAGATGGTGCCAGGCTAGGCCAGAACTGCTCTGTGCTGCTTCTGGTGGCAGGATGAATATAAATCATCTAAATCCCTTGGCGGGGTTGATACCACAAATATTCCACATTAAATCCACAGAACTGCAACACCTTGGGAACAGAGCATCCAAATTAAAGCAGCATGGAATAGTTTGGGTTGGAAGGGACTGTGAAGATCACCCAGAGCCACCCCCTGCCATGGGCAGGAACACCTTCCACAATGCCAGGTGGCTCCAACCTGGCCCTGGACACCTCCAGGGATGGGGCAGCCACAGCTTCTCTGGCCATGTCATTAGGAACATGAATTCCAGAAGTGTCACTCGTTCACAGCTGGCACAGCAGCAGCCACTTCTCAGCTGTTCCTCAGTGCTGCCACAGAATCCCCCAGCACAGGCTGGGGGCACAGCTCTGCCACTCACAAATGCAAAACCCCTCAAAACCCCTCAAATTTGTGACTTCAGGTCCAGCACAAAGGGCAGCAACTGTGCCTGCATTTGATATAAAAAGGCTGAAATCCTTTGGAAAGCAGGAATGGGAAGTGTCGGCACAGACAGGAGATCATCTATCAGTGCAATTACAGTGTAATTAAAGCCTCTCAGAAACGACAGCTCCTGGAGTAAATTCTAAAGTAGATTATTCCCTGCTTCCAAATCCCCAAGCCCCAGCTCTTCAGGGGGATAATTATGCAGCTCCCATTCTTGCTGTCAGAGAACTGCAGTTTGTAAATGGAAGAACTGAAATGCAGAGACACAAAGACCCCAGCTTTGAAAGCTCTTTAGATGTCAAATTGCAGCTGATTTTATTTTTTTTTCAATCAAGCTGAGCGATTTTTAGATTTTTTAAAGTGTTAAAAGGAAACCAAATCAGTTTTAAGCCATTGCACCCCAAACAAGCTCTTTTTTGAGGTGTTTCTTTTCTCTACTTTATTGCTCTTTACGTGAGATAAGGGATGGGACAGGACAGACAAATTTGTGCTGGATGTGTCAAATCAGTCACAGTGATGCCTTTATAACTCAGCAGAGGTTAAGTCTGTCAGCTGGATAGGAGAGGGGAGAGATGGAAGGAAGAGTCAGACAAAAGGAGTTACAGAGGAGGAGGAAAGAAAAGAAAAAGGAAGGAAAAGGGGAAGGGGAAGGGGAAGAGGAAAGGGAAAGGGAAAGGGAAAGGGAAAGGGAAAGGGAAAGGGAAAGGGAAAGGGAAAGGGAAAGGGAAAGGGAAAGGGAAAGGGAAAGGGAAAGGGAAAGGGAAAGGGAAAGGGAAAGGGAAAGGGAAAGGGAAAGGGAAAGGGAAAGGGAAAGGGAAAGGGAAAGGAAAGGAAAGGAAAGGAAAGGAAAGGAAAGGAAAGGAAAGGAAAGGAAAGGAAAGGAAAGGAAAGGAAAGGAAAGGAAAGGAAAGGAAAGGAAAGGAAAGGAAAGGAAAGGAAAGGAAAGGAAAGGAAAGGAAAGGAAAGGAAAGGAAAGGAAAGGAAAGGAAAGGAAAGGAAAGGAAAGGAAAGGAAAGGAACAAGGAGGAGATGCCTGTCCAGAGAGTCCCCAGAGAAGATCATCAGGCACAGCTGGGGCAGCCACAATGCCTCTGGTGTCAGGATTTACAAAACAGCCATCCAAGATAATGCAACTTCATTCCCAAATTCAGCATGGGAAAAATGAGTAACAGTCCCAGGAAAGGATGAGAGCACCTGGAACTGCAGGGATGGTGTACCCAAAACAGAGAGTGCCTTCACCAGCAGTGGTTCCAGCCCAGCAGAAGGAAGAGCCAAGTGTCCAGACTGGCAGTGACCTGAAGCAGAGCATCCAGTTCTTTGTGCATAACCAGCATCTTGCTGGCATGGCCCGAATACCCAATTATTGGCTTGTTAATGACATGTACCTATCATTAACTGTCCCAAAAGTCACCTCACAGAGATGCTCAGGGCAGAGCAGCCAGACAGAAGCTGTCTGCACACTGATTTACTGCTTGAAGTACACAAAGGTTGTGTTCAGGGGCCTTATCTAAGGAACCTCCCCAAAATTTAGACCCTTTGAAGTGACACAAGCCTGGCTGCAGGATGGGTCTCACCAACACAGCTCCCTGACAGGAGGGGCAGCCAGGTGGAGTTGGCCTCTGTTGCCAGGGAACAGGGACAGCATGAGCGGGAACAGCCTCAGGCTGGCCAGGGGAAGCTCAGGGTGGATATTGGGAAAATTTATTCATGAAAAGGGTTGTCAAGCCTGGAACAGGCTGCCCAAGGCAGTGATGGAGTCCCCATCCCTGCATGTGTTCAAAAAAAGTGTGAATGTGGCTCTTGAGGACAGGGGTCAGTGGTGGCCTTGGCCATGCTGGGCATAAGTTGGACTCAGTCTCAGAGGGCTTTTCCAGACTGAACAATTCTATGACTCCAAAATCTGAGCCCTTCTGGCTCTGCACAATGAGTTTAAATTATGTTTATCAGCACTGGTATCTCAATACTAATGAAATCTTCTTTTCTCCATTACTATTCAACAGAAAATCACAAAAACACCAACAGCTTCAATACAAGTCTCTCAATGAAAGTTTAAGACAGGTAAAGAAAGGGAAAGGACTACACTGAGACTCACACAGGAACCTCCCACTGAATTTTACTTGGAAACAGCTCCTGCTTGTGCCTACCCCTGGAAAGGCTGGTATTTGTGATTGAGATACTGATGATAAATGGACTGAAGCAAATTAATTCCAACTAAGCCAGGCAGCCTTCAGTGTGAAATGATGGTACCCACTGATTCAAGATGGATAAGGTGGGATTTAAACTCTCCATGCCCTGCTGGGAGCTGCAGGGATTGTTCAAACCACCACAGTGCACAGCATTTTCTGGACTACTCTATTTTTACACCTACCAGTGGCCTGGAATAATTTTTCCAATAAACAAGGAAAGGAAGTTTTTTCATGGATGCCTGCTGAACTTGCCTGCTCCCAGCTCCCTGCTGTGCCCTGATCACAGCCCTCCCCACAACACCCTCAGTGATTCTTGCTGTCCTGAACCCCCTCCTGGGCTGCCTCAGGCTCCCCACACTGGGCTGGGCACAAGTGACCATGGCCACTCTGTAGGACCAGACCTGCAACAACAGCCAGCAGCACCAAGGAGAAACTTTTCCTTCCACAAGTGCTCCTCTCACAACACAGAGCAACTCCCTGTGCTCCTGGCAGCTCCTGACACCTGTACCAGGTTCAGGTCAGGCCCAGCCAGCAGAATATTTGGAAGATGGATAGATCAGATCAGTGTTGACTCCTTGGAAAACAGATTAAAGTCTGTCCCCACCCCCACCAGGGTCACAGCCACCTTCCCAGCTCTGGCAGCTCATGATTTGCCATCTGGGAAAGCTCCTCTCTGCCTACACAGGCACTCTCAGTTTTGACTACTGGTGCCTATTTTAGCAAGGCTGCCTTGGGCTCACAGGGGCATCTGCTCAGGAGCCCTGAAGCAAAACATCCTGGGGGGAGCCATGGGGCTCCACTCCCCACTGGGGCCCAGCTGGGACCTCTAGGCAGTTTTGGTGGGTCCCAGACCCTCCTGCAGAGCTCAGATCAACGCCACTCCAGTACAGGAACACAAAAACACAGAATCATGGAATCACAGAATAGCCTTTGTTGGGAGGACCCCCAGAGATCATCCAGTCAGACTCCTGGCTCTGCACAGACACACCAACAATCCCACCCTGTGCATCCCTGGGAGCATTGTTCAACTGCTCTGGCAGCCTCGGGGCTGGGACCATTCCCTGGGGAGCCTGGGCAGTGCCAGCACCTCTGGGGAGACCCTATAAATCAGGTGTGATTTCATGTCCTAACTCTGGACAGAAGAAGTGAGGGCAGCTCTCTCTTCCTGTGCACAGCCAGCACTGGGTGACCGTGCTCTGACCCATTTCCTTTGCTCCCACACTCCTGAGAAGACACTCAGAGCACTTATTGCTGAATTATTCTGAATGTGAACACACCCCAGAAGCCTGGGCTCTCTGTTCATCTCTTGTGGGCTGTACCCCAGTGCCAGGAATCCAGCAAGGCCACCTAGCTCCAGTAACACCCCAGTATTCCTCAGGGATCTCAGCTCAGCTCCCAGTGCTGCTCCAAGAGCCCTTCCCAGAGCATTCCCTTCCCCACCTTCCATCACACCATGTGGTGCTTGCCCAAGCAACGCCTTCTACCATAAAACTGAAATATGTGCTGAAATAAAAGCTTTCCCTCCTCACCCTCTGGCATGGCAAGGAGGAGGAAAGAAGGAACTCACACAGGTCTGCCTGTATTGCATTCCCACTGCCATGGGAAGCCAGAGAGAATCTCTCCACCATGAACAGCATCCTCTGGGTGCTTTGCCCAAAGAGCTTTGCTAAATGTGGTTTGAAATAATAATAATAATAATACAACCACCACCACCACCACCACCCTAAGACAGACTGGCTTTCCTACAAGTAAAAGATGAACTGGTCATGGGGGAACCAAAAATCTACCTTCTTCATGGGGGATGAAGGTGACCCTTCCTCCAGACCTGCCCAGCCAAAAGCTCGTTTGGCACAGACAAGGCTGCTCTGCATTTGATCAGCTTAGCTCCAGGAGGATGGCAGTGAGGGGAAGGTGGGAATCTCTGCAGGGAGAAGCCACACTCTTTTCATCAGAAGTCAGAGTCAATTTTGAAACAGGAGACTTTACCTTCAGTGTCAGGTTGTCCACCAGTGCAATCATGGAGTTCTTGAACAGAGTAGCAGCTGTCAGAGGTCTCTTGGTGACCTCAGTGATGCTCAGTTTCCCTTCAGGCCACATCATCTTCAGCACAGGGTTGGAGCTACGAGAGAGTCTCTTTAATTGCAGTGTCCCAGCACTTCCACTCCACTGACAATCCAACAGTTGGTTTCTACCCAGACCCACTGCTGCTTCCAGCTCACAGGGCACCACCCAAGCCAGGGTAAGATTCCTGGGCACAACATTTTATGCTCTTAAGAGCAAGTTCAAGCTTACAAGTGAACAATCCAGAAAAACAACCAGCACATTCTCCCTTCAGATCAGGATGTGCAGGAATAGGACAGAGAAAATCCCACAGAGTGATCCATCATCAAAGGCAGGGGCTGCCTCACTGGCACAACAGAAAGAATTTAATCAACACAAAGGAGAGTGAGACCCACACTACCCTCCCTTAGAACCTGTCACCTGTGTTCAAGCTGCATTTCTGCACCTCTTGATTTATAAAGAATATAAAAAATAATCTATACACTTTAGCTTGCATTTTTTAAGAGTGCAGAGTGAGGTAAACTGGCCCTGATGGATAGCAAGAGTTCAGGAACAGACAAAAACTGAGCACATTTACAGCAATCTAATGGCCAATCTGTCACAGGCTTTAATGTGCTAGAAGTGGTGTTTGGGAGCAGGATTTTCCAGAGACTTCACAGAAAACAGGCTAAATTTGATGAAACCACACAGCAAATATTTTGCAAGGTTTCTGGTCAATGGGAAATGTTGAAAACAGGAACAGTGGGACTGCTCAGAGGAGCACAGCCAGTCAACCCAAAGGGCTGCAGACCAATTTAAAATCTGTACAGGCAAACAGAGCCTACCACTGCAGGGTGTTTGTGCCCACTGTCCTCTGAGCAGAGCCCCTGAAACTCCAGATTACAAAATGAGGACGTGTTTAATGCCAGATTAAGAAAAACAGCTGCATGGGGACTTCCACCCACATTCTGATAGGATTTCAAATCTGCTTCTCAAGGCAACCTTTGCTTGCCCAACACATGACCTCATGGTTTGCACTTTTCACACCACTGCAGACATGAAAGGATTTAAACCTATCTGCCCATTTTATTTCAAAACAGGGTGTTCTAGGTGGGGCTAAGGATATCTGTTGTTGACCAAAGCTCCCCAGCATCTTTAGCACTGATTACAGACAGAGCAGTGATGATAAATCTGCAATGGGCTAATGACAAATCAGGCAGCACAAGCAAGCTCTGCACTATCTTGATTGCACAATCAGTTGGTTTAAAAAAAAAACTACTTTAAATTCTGTTCAATTAAAGGCTGCATCTGTACAGAAACATGTACAGAATAAGGACTTTAACTTGAAAAATCCAACTAAGAACCTCTGGGTCACGGGACATGTACAAAGATCAAATCCCAAAGCAATGTCTTTATTCACACACACTGAACACAGGACCACTGAAAACCTGAGTCTCTGATAGCATCACTCCACAAAAAAGGATTCTGGCAAATCAGATTAAAATTCACCTCATTAATATTCTTACCTGTTGTACATGAGGCGTTTGAAGTCTTGAAATAACGTGTCTTTGTTTTTATCAATGAATCCAGTGACGGAGTAACTAAAAAATAAAGGAAAAGCAGAGTTAATTGCAAAGTAGCAAAGTCCTTCTGTGAGCTGCTGGTAACTGTGGGATCAGCATCCCTGCACTCCTACAGACCCAGCAGATGCTAATCCAGCCCTGCTCCCAGTCTGTCACTAATGGGTGCAGGAGCAGAGTGTGAGACTTGGATCCTTGGGCCCAGCTCCCACCTCCAGCACAGGAACAGCTTCAGAGAGCTCCTGCAGCTGGGCAGGTGCTGCCTGAGACACCTCACAGCACTTGGGCAGGGGTAGATGGTCCAAATTCAGGAGTTACACTCGGGATTCTGTCTCCAAAGTGAGTGTGTGTGTTTGTGTTAAATCCTAGGGAAATTCAAGTTTGTTTTTCAATCTGTGCAGTCTGCCCTTCTCTCGGTGGAGAGAATCTGAATTCCTGAGCAGCCTCTGAGTAGTGACTGGGAGCTGCCCTGGAAATCAAAGCACACAGAAACACACACACTTTAGATTCTTTCCTTCCTCTATTCCCACAGAAACACCACTTGAGGAGGTCACTGTTCCAGGGTTTCATCTCTTCTCCAAGTCTCAAGGCAGGCAGAGCTCTGTCCTCATGGAAAAGGTCCAAAGTTTCCCTATTCAGTGACTCCCATGCAGATGTTTCCTGAGTTCCAGATCCCACCCTGGGAAGCTGCACCCAACCTACAGACTCTGGGATCAACCCACAACCTGCACTCCCTATATGGAGCTGTTCTCAAATCATAGAGTCACAGAATAGGACCTTTTAAAAGGCATCCAGTGCCACCCCTGCCATGGCAGGGACACCTTCCACTGTCCCAGGCTGCTCCAAGCCCTGTCCAACCCGGCCTTGGGCACTTGCAAGGATGGGGCAGCCACAGCTGCTGTGGGCATCCTGTGCCAGGGCCTGCCTGCCCTCAAGTCTAAGGGCTTCATGCAAGATCTGGGCCTGAACTATCTGCGATTCCTTCCACATTTCAGTTTTCTTTTACACCATTTGTCAGCCACTGGCAGTTCAGAAGGTTCAACCACTAAGACAGCACATTGTATTTTCTCCTCCAAAATCCCCTTTTATCAGGGATGTCTGTCAGGAATTGCTCAGCAAAGACTCCAGAAGATAACCTGCTTATGCTATATGGGCTCCAGTCTGATCGCACTGGTTGTCCTTGGAAATTAAAGGTAAAAATAATACCAGGGTAAAAGAAGTCATGAATTCTTCCTTCAGTAACTCCCTTTCTTCTGACATGGGAAGTTACACAAATCCTAAACCATTAAATTACTTCAGTGATATTCCACACAACAGCTTTCCCAGCAAATGGTTTCTATCATGTGCATCCTTCACTTCCACTCACTCTCCATTCCCACTGCTGTCACCTCCTGCACTTGTTCCTGCAGGCTCCAGGCAAGCACTTCCCAACCCTCCTGCCCTGATCCCTCCTGCAGGTTATCTCTCCTCTGGGCTTCCAGTCTGCTCCAACTGATTGGAGAATTTCAAGCCAGAGTTATATAATCATACCAAACAGATGTCTAAACCAGACTTTATTAGCTCCGTGTAGCTTTCTTGCATAAACACTGCTGCCTTTTTTCCCTTTTTCTTCCCCTGGAGCAGTGCTCTCCCCTCACCCCCCACCCCTCGCTCTCCTTTTGTTTCACTCCAAGTAAAAATTCCCACTCTGCAGAGCAAGGCACCAGCAGAAGATTTAATTGATAAGCAAGCGCTGTACTCTGTAATTGTGTGTGGCAGCTATTCTGGCTTGCACCAGAAGCAGCAGTAAATCAGAATATTGTACCACTTCAGAGCTGCTGGGAAGACAGAAATAAAATGTGCAACTTTATCTCTGAAGGAAACTCACATCACATCCCCGGCATAGTGCTTGATCCGGAAGTCTCTGTCGAACTCCAGCGTTTTGTCCGTGGCACAAAGCTGAAACAAATTCATATACATTAAAATACCACCTATGGACTGATATTAAAACACCACCCCTGGATTTACAAGCTCCATGGAAGAACAACCTGCCTTCAAAATAGCACTGGGAGCTACAGGAATTCCACTTTCTATGTGCATATGTGAAAGCCACTGCTGGAAAATGGTTTCATGGATGCACTGTAAGAACATGTGCTTGTACAAATGAAGCTGCAAGAGCCTATAATTTCATGAAGAAATTGATACTATCTCAGAAACACCATTATGCAAAAAGAACACTCGTGCCTGTAGAGAAACATTGCGCCCACGAGTTAATTTATTACTTTTTTAAAGTCTTCCTTTATGTTTTTTGGTGGGTTTTTTTTTGCAATTGCAGTGTAACTCCTCTGTAATTGCAGAGAAATGGGCCAACTGCTGTGGCAACAGCAAGGCTTGTTCAGTCCCAGATCCCTCCTAGTCATCTGACACCCCTCAAACAGGGAACCCCCTGCAGATCCACTGCTCCAGGCTCAAATTCCCATTCCATCCCATTCCTCCTGTACAACACAAGATGTCCAGTGCCCATGTAGCAGCTGTTCAGCAGCAGTGGCTGTAACATGCTCATCCCTTCAGGAATAGCAGGAGCCAAAAAAATACATCAGGGTTGGCTTAATTAAAAAGGGAGTATGAGATAAGAATGAGGATTTTGTTATAGGCAAAAGGAGCAGGAGATGAATTAAGTCTTTGCAGGCAGTATTTAACAACACCAAGGGCTACGAGCAGATATCTGCCATCCACAAAATGTCTTGGAGAAATAAAAGAGGAAATTAGCATGGTTGAAATGCGGGGCAGGAGGAATGATTAGGGGCAGGGAGATACACTCCAAAAATTCACCTGTGTCCAAGAACACGGAATAGATTGGCTCAAAGTGTAAGAAAAGAAGAAAAAAACAGAGTATGTTTTACACAAAATTAATCAGAAGGAGGACCCCAAGGAGTGTGAGTAGCCAAGGTCTCCAGGAGGCCCCAGAGGTGTGGGAAGTCCAGCATGGCAGGAGCAGGGAGCACCAGGAGCTGCAGAGCTGATGGATGATCAAGGTACAGCAGAACACAGGGAAAATGGAAGAAACAAGGCAATACTAGGAAAACAAAGCCATCTTTCTTGCTGCAGCTTTGTTCCCAGCAGGGGGCTGGGAAGTGCCTTTCTCAGCCACCCAAACACACAGCTCAAACCAACAGGTCAATAAAAAGGGTAAATACAAATGGCAACAGAAATGTGTCTGTGCTACCAAACAGGGCTGGCAGCACAAGTTCCTCTGAGAGCTCATCCAGCTCTGGAGAGGCTGGAAGGAGCCATAACACAGCAATCAAGGATTTTGTTGTTTGCTGGTTTGGCTTTTTCCAAAGGAGTGATTCTGTCCAAACTTTGTGTTTCCTGGACAAAGAAGATGAAATTAGTGAAAAAAACCCCAGTAGTTCCATTGATAGAGTGGATCACCTGCCTGGGTTTGTGTGAGCCCTCCCATTGAGGCTCCTCACTGACAGCTCCCAGCATTCAAAGGTGAGAAAAGACAGGAGAAAGGTGTTGGAAAGATGGGAATCCCGCGGGAGCCTGCCCCGAGCCTCTGCTTTCACAGCATCTGTAATGAGCCATAATCTGAGGGCAATGGGAAGGTCAGGGCTGGGTAGGGGCACTTAATCACTGAGGGCTGGCTGAGAAGAGCTGCGGGAGACACCCAGAGCTTAATGAGGGCAAAGCAGAGCAAATGGAACTCCCCAGCAGGGCAGGGATTCCCACTGAGAAAGGGCAAAGTTCACAGGAGCTGATGGGCCCCAAACCATCCCTTCCAGACTCAACAGGGATCTTAACTGCCCTCGTTCATCTCAAAAAGGACACAGAGAACTGGGAGATGCTTAAAGGGCAAAACCCATCCCCTGCTGACTGACTACCCTGGGAGGATGGGCCAACAAACTCAGCTTTCCCAGGTTAGCAAAGAAATACCAGAGATGATGGCAAAAAAGATGGAGGTGATGGTAGTGGAAGACAAAACTAGTATGTGAGAGATGTAATCTAAAATGGAGAAGGGAAGGAAACAGGGAGGAAGGAGCTCTTTACTTGAGTATTTGAGCTGTGGACTTATTTGTTGATTTACAAACCAACAAGACCACAGAAAAAACCCTATTAAGAAGACCTGGAGGTTCCTGGGCTGCAGGTCCCTGAAGAATGGGAGCATGTCAAGTTATCAGTACACATTTATCCTATATTGGACTCTCACTTGGGCATTCATCACTGTCCAGTGTCTTGGAAGACACAACATCAGGTGGACCAGAATGGACCTTCTGACACTCTTCCCTTCACAACCAGTGTGTTGAGATTCATGCTCTCCACAATTTGAAGACTGAGGCATCCATGGACTGTCACTGTACTTGATCCTTTCAAAGTAAAATATCAACAGAAAATAAATGGAACTTGGAGAGGCTGAGGATACAAATGGTGATGCTGGGAAGGGCCACTAGAACAGCTGGCACATCTGCACATCCAGAGTAGCATTAGAAAAACCCGAGGAGGACTGCCCATGATCCAGGAACACAAAATTCTGCCACAAATTCTGCTGGTGGAAGTGTCAACCAGCATTGTCCTGGCTGGTTTGGCCTTCCCCAGGACAAGGGCGCCGGCAGCGCGGAGCAGCCGGGTGCACAAAGTAGGACACGACTATTTAGGGCACCACAGCCCCCTAGAGCTTCTCCACATGGAGCCTGTGTGCAGCATGCTCTGCAGGGAGCAGTGGAGCATGAACTGGGCTGAGGGATGGGAGCTGTTCCCAACACATGCACTTTAACTCTTTGGGAACAGCTCCCATCTGTGTGGAACTTTACAGGATCTGCATGGAACAACTGCACTCTGCAAAGGCATGGCATGAGATGGAATCAAGCCTTTGTTTTAAGCCAAGTTAGGAGAGCCTGGCTCAGAAGGCTCAGGCTTCCCACAGCAGCTCTGGGTGGGACTAAAGCAAAGCTCTGAGGTGCTGGGATGTCTGCAGAGATGCGACGGGGAGGAAAAATAATAATTATGCTGAGAGGTTTATGGGTCAATGTTTTCAAGGCTCTATTGATTTAACTAGAAATTAGTAAGCCAGACAGATCCATCAGACCCTCCATAAACATTATTTATAGTAAGATTCCTTGTCTCCCTCTTATTCTGTGCAGGCAGTTTCTGACAACGCCACCTCCTGCTGAGGAACGCTGCAGCTGGCAATGCTGCCCTTTAATGTCTCCTTGCTGGGAGGGGACTCCTGAAGGCAAGGACTTGAGCAGATTTTATTTTTAAATGTTCATTTCATAGCCTCCCATAGCACCTCCTGAAATTTCATCCCCTTCTGCTGCTGCACTAAAGGACCACCTGCTCCCTCTGTGGCAGAGCCCCTTCCCCTGGGCAGATGTGGGAGCAAGGACAGAACAGAAACCAAACTCCTCTCTCTCAAACTGACCAGACAGCTCCAGGAACTGGACCACATCCCAGCACCCTACTGCAGAGGACCCCAGACTCCATCCCACCAGTACTACCACTGAAAGAAGCAGTTTGTATTCAAATGGGAACCCAGGCCAGGCCCCACACTTGTTTTCAGGGGTTTTCTCAGAATGTTCCATGTCACTGCTCAGGCATGTGAAGTCTGGGTCAGCACTGGAATCAAGCTCCCTGTCCCCCTCCCTGAGCTCAGGTACACCTGGCAGGTGTGCATCAGGTGTGCTGCAGCAAAAGGGCGCTTAAGGAAAATTATTATCTGGGTGGAAAAAGTGGTTTTGGTTTACTTTCATCCTGGCCTCTCCTCAGACAGCCCCAGCTGGATCCATTGTTTATCCCGGGCCTGCCGGAGGCAGCCTTTAGCACATATCTTACACAACCAGGCTAATTTGGTACTTCTGACCTACATAAAATATTGTGCTGGGGTGGGAGGGAGCAGGGGGGACCAGCACTCTGAGCCATACATTTTAGACAAATGTTTCTGAGTAGAGAGACATCAAACTAAAGGCCCTTATTTGATTAGTCTGTGTGAAAGATTCTCAAATTAATCAGGCTGGTGACCATTTTGCAATCTGCTGCCAAGTGAGGAATAAATGAAGCCTTTTAATTCGCCCATTGTAGCCTAGACAAAGCCAGGCGAGGGGCCTGGGTGCTCTGAGGTGCAGTGGGAGACGAGCACGTTCTGCAGCCAATGACGATGAAAAAAGCCCAAATCACGGTGCTGTAATAATGCAGGAGTGTGAATAATTTCACTGTCACTATGTATTAGAGCAGCCTGGGAAGAACAACACGTGGGCCGAGCCGGCGTATCGATTGGTTCCAGATGACATCATGATATGTCAAGGCACGAGCTCAGGCTCCTTTTATCCCGGAATAAAAGGGAAGAGCCACTGGATGTGCTGGAGCTCCCTCTGCCGGGTTCCTCTGCGGCTGGAGCCGCTCCGGCCTCCTCATCTCACACTCAGTTGCAGTGATTCCAACCCAGGCACCCCTAAACCCCTTTTCCTCATTCCATTCCACCACAGAACATGGGGAAGGGATGGCAGAGGACAACAAGGCCTGTGGGTTACCTTCCTGCTGGAGAAGTGTGCGTGCTTCCCCAGTTTGTTGTTGAGGGCCTCGAGGAACATCTCATCCGTGACTTTCCCCACATTCATGCAGGCATCATCCAGAATGGCAATGATCCCTTTGTGCTGCTGCTCCACCAGGTCCACAATAACCTGGTTGTTGAAATAATCGATCTGCAGGGAACAAAGGACAGGGGTGTTGGTGACCTTGGCTGCAGAAATGGGAGGGTACCAGCGCTGGTCATAGCAGCCAGTGCGACAGTGAGAAGCAATCAGCTCTGAATGTGCAGATCTCTGATTCCAGATAAAGCAGGCTGCTCTCCTACACTGAACAGCACAGAAAGCGATTTTTCAAACCCCTCAGATACATTTCAAGACCTCTGCTGCAGAATGCTCTTTAAAATGTCTTTTACAATTCAGCTGTGTGCAGTCACCACAGTGACACTGCACATCCCGTCCTTGGCATTCTGAAGCGAGTTTGAGCAAGAAAAGTCAAGATTTTTACGTATTATCATCAACAAATACAAAAATCTATAAGCACTCAACATAGAAACCCACAGTTACGTGTGTGGCATCACAGAGGTGCCACAATGGGCTTAATCTCAGACCTGGAGTCTCATGTTTTCCCAAGGAGACACGTGGTGAGGTGACTGGGGAGCTCCTGCCCTGGCCTGAACAGCTGCCAGAACAGCTGGCAGGGACACAGATGTCCCATCAACTGGAGCCTGCATGTGGAGTAACTTGTGCTGGTACACTGACCTCACACCAACCTCTCCCTCCCCTGCCAAAGCACTCACATGCTTCCAGGGAATTCCCTCTCGCTGGTACTCCTCCTGCTCCTGCTTTAGAACCAGCTGAATGAAGAGCTGCTGCAGCTTTTCATTGCAGTAATTAATGCAGAATTGTTCAAAGCTGCAAAAACATGAGAAGAAAAGGTGATGAGTGTTCTGGAAAATGCAAGGGCACAACACTGGGCTTTAGAAGGTGGCTCACCTGTTATTGTCAAATATCTCAAAGCCATAGATATCCAGGACCCCAATCACTGTGTTCTTGCCATGCACTGTGGTGTCGTAGTTCTTCACCTCGATGACATCGTTGATGTGTGTCACAATCCAGCAGAACAGACGCTCGTAAATGGCCTGCAGGAAACACAGACTGAGGGCTCCTGCCTGCACCTGCCTCAGCTCTTCCCAGGAAATTCAGCACAGCTCATTCCAGGCCTCCATCAAAGCCGCAGGTCATGTTCTGCTGCAAGCGAGCAGCTACAGACTGAAGAAAATATTCTATGGAAGTATTTATTTTCTTTCTTCCAAAACTCATTTATACCAAGTTGAAATCCCAGTGAGGTCACTGGGTGCAGCAGTTCCCTAATTTGATTCCAGTCAGCTTTTCAGCTGCCTAATAAGTACCATTCCTGAGAATTATTTAACAATAGTGAAGAGCAAGAAAGAGGTCAGTCACAGAAACCCAACAACTGAACACAATGACAGGAAAATAATCCTGTTCACCTTTCACAAAGATAATGTTCTGTAGGCAGAGGTGTCTTCAAAGTCTTCATGTTCAAAATGTGCTGTGAAGTTGGGTAAATACATTATCTCAGGAAAAGAAGTCAAGTTAATTATTGATGACCTTCATAACTTCATCCATTTCTCCCTTATAATTTGATTTCTTAGCAGAGGAGGAACAATTGTACTCACTTTGCCTGTGGAAGGTGTCCCTGCCCATGGCAAGGGGTTGAAACAAGATGGTCTTTAAGGTCCCTTCAACCCAAACCATTCTACAATTCTTTAAAAAACATTTTTAAAATACCACATTGTATTTTCAACATGAATTCTAGATATTACAGTTCCACTCTCTACTCTTTGAATTTAACTGCAAAATGAAGTTGAGGATCCCATTTCCCAGCAAATTCCTCCCTCTATGCCAGCCCAGCCTGCAGCCCATCCCTTCCTCGCTGTGCCTGGCACTGCTGGCTGTGGGAGCTGGATCCCTGATGGAAGGGCAGGGATGGGGACGTGCCACAGAGTCCTACAGAACTCAGGAGCACCAAGGTTCAGAGAGAAATCTGCAGGATGTACAGCAAGTCCTGTGCTTATTGACCCACCCAGGAATCTTCCTGGGACTGAGCACTGACAAATGTGCAGTTCTGGCAGCAATGCCCCCCTTGGGCACCGATATTCCTTGCTGCACACCTCAAACCACGGGCAAAGGCAGCAGAGGTGTGTCTGGTGAGTGTCACACACTGTGCAGAGGGAGGGGACTGCACTCACCTTTGCAAAGGCGTCCCTGCCGTAGGTGGCCTCCTGCTCCGTGTGCTGCTTGTCGATGACGTCCCTGCCCGTGGCCACTGTCCGGAACAGCAGCGCCTTCTCCACCAGCTCAGCCTTGGTGGACAGCAGGTCAGCGATGACCGACACCACCTTGCTGTTCTCGATGATGGGAGTGTCTCCATCCACATAGAACTTCAGGTTCCCCTGCAATCAGCAGCATTTCTCCATCTGCCCTTTACTAACAGGGATCAGCACACCCTAACTCCATCCATTTTCCACCTGCTACACCAGGCTGGAAATCTCCTGCCACACTGGCAGGTGGATCTTGCACATCCACACCCTCAAACCTCCAATGTCAGTGGGAGCAGCAAGGGCTTTCTCAAAGCAAAGCATTCCTGTTCAGTGTTCAGCTCAGCTTTTGGGACAAACTACATCAAACACTTCCTGAAATTTAATCAAACACTATCCCAAGATTCAGAGTCCAGGGATAGGGAATTGCACCATGTATGCAAATACTGGATGTAGCATTTGTCTGCACTGTAGCTTGCCATGAACCCACTGGCTGCAGTGCTACTGCCACAGAGGGAATGGGAATGGTGTGGGGAAGCTGAGAGGTCAGTGTCAGTGAGACTGGACTGGCAATACCCCACCACCACAGCTCTCTGCTCCTGGGTACCTTCTCTGCCAGGATTAAGCTGTGACACCCCTGGGTCATCCACAGCAGAGGGTAGTACCCCAGCCTGCCTGCATGGTCCCACTCTGCTGTGCCTCCCTTCCTTCCCAGCACTGTCATCCCAAGGAGGAGAAGGAACTGGAATACAGTTGCTCTTTGCCACCCTTCTCCTGCCCATCTCTTTCCTCAGGAAACAACAGAGCTGAGCTACAGGGACACTGTGCAGGGGAGGAGGCTCTGTGGCTCCCAGAAGGATCCATGAAAAGGAAGGCTCTCCTCAGTCTCAGAACACAAAGAATTAAGAGGACTCCTGTGTCTCCTGTGCTCAACCTTCAGCATGAAATGAAGCAGGATCACTGTGGTGAAGGTGAGTGAGGGCACAAAGGGACAGAAGCTCCCTATGTCCTCACTGCCAAACCCCAACAGTTCCTTTTTCAGAATGTACAACAGCTCCCAGTACTTAGTGGTATGCCTGGTTTGGGATCTGGAACATACAGGAATACATGTGATCATCATTGCAGTGCCCTGCTCCAGCAAGGACTGTCTCACCACTGGAGCTGTGAACTGGAAACCTTCCCAGCCACCAGAGCTTCCAACGGCTTCTGCGGCAGGAAAATCAGAGCTGCTGGCAGTACAAGCCCTCCTGAGGAACAGCCCAGGGATTCAGGGATGGATACCCACGGGCAGGGAGCTTACCAGGTGCAGAATGGCTGCCAAGATTTTGTAGACAGTCTGAATCTCCTCCTGCTTGAAGCCAATCACCTTCATGGCATCAGCGACTGCCTTGAACTCGGCCCCATCATTGATGGAACACTGAGGGGAGACAGAAGTTTGGGATGGGGGATTTAATGGAAGTCAGCTGTGAGGAAGCAAGGATTTCACAAGCCCATGGGAAACAAGATGCATTTTTGATGTTTCTCAGAGGCAATACATTGTCATGAGGTTTCCCAGCTTATTTCAACGCCATCTTGTGTGCTTGGACACTGAACCCTGCATTGCACACACATATTCTGGCAGCAGGAGACACAGAAATCCACCACAGCATAATCAATTTCCCAGTGGAATTTGCTGAGAAAGAGTTCATTAAAAATCCCAGAAAAACAGGGACAATTTGTGCACTCACAGACCCTCTGAGCAGAGGCTGCAGAGCACCAGCAGGAAATCTCTGTTCTCCACTTCTCTCAAGATTAGCATCCCTCTGGCAAGGGAGAAGGTCTCTGGGTTTCTGTACCAAAGTGCATCTCACAAAAGCACCTAGGAAATCAGGGAGCTTTGGTCTGGACCCAGCTTCAAAGGGACAACACTAGGGACAGCTCCAGATGTATCTAAAATGTTCAGGATCTTGTCTGAAGACTTTATGGGTTTGTTCCCTTCTATCCTGCTCAGAGGTCCCCCTTGAGGACAAGTCAGACATGAAGACTCAGTGCTCCAGTAACTCAAAGATCCTACTGCAAAAAAATGAGTCCTTCTGGCTTTTTGCTCCACAAGGCAGTTTAAGGCACCCATTATGGAGCCTGGAATGTCTGCCACTCGTAATGGGTCAAATATTCACACCCACACTTATTAATAAATCATTTTAAATTATTTATATAATGATATTATATTATTATAATAGAATAATGATTATATGATGATTAAATAATTATTTATATATAATTTTATCATTTTAATAATGCTGTTCATAAGTAGATGCAGCATGCACAGGTATTTTTGTATATTTTTAAAAGAACAGAAGTATGTATTTTCTATGATTCTAAGTACACTCGTGCTTTATCTTGTAGCACCAGAAACTTCATTACAAACAGCACACCAGTGTCACCTTTCTCTATTCATCCCCACTGATCTCAGCTCCTGCTAGCTCAGCAGTGCTTTGAGCATTTCCAGCAGCACTTGCAATGTTAAGCTGTCCCTGGGTCCCTCAGAGGCCTCACCTTGAGCTGTGCCCCAGGGCAGATGTAGCTGTAGGCTGATGCATCCTTCTGGAGGTGCAGAGAACGCAGGAGCTGCTCAGAACCTCCCTGCAGGAGCTGCATGAAGAGAGTTTTAAGAATGGGTGAATGAAAAATATAAACTCCTTATTTTTTCTTTCTCTTATTCATCTGCTTGACAAGCAAAATCATGAAAATATTATTTACTGCTGTAATACGTGAAATACAATGTGCAAAATACAGGGCCTGTATTTGTATGCCAGCACCATGCTGGCACTGGTGCAGTGCCAGCACAAATCTGTCCTTTAGAGTCACAACAGTATAAAAACCAGCCTGAACCCCTCCCAGACCTGTTCACAGCTGTGCCATGCCACAGCTGTGCCTTGGCAAGCACATTGCCCACACAGTGACTTTTCCTTCTGGAAATGACACATCCGTGAGGAAAGTGCTAACATGCCATCATGGAGTACTGAAAAAGTGGGGAAAAAATAAACAAACCTCCCCTTCCCTCAGTGCAGAATCAAGGTTATACTAATAGGCTGACCATATCCCCTAAAGGACACACAGGGAACCAACACACAATGTGGATGACATTAAAGAACATCCAAAAAACCAAATTACTTCCATATGGACTAAAGGCCTCAAGAGAAAATAGAGGGATTAGGCTTACTGCACATTAAACAGTGAGTCAAAGTCCAATGTCCTACCATATTTGTTTAGTCAGCCTCCTTTTAAGTTTAGAAATGTGTTAATATGGGACTGGAGGATAGAAAACAATCCATCTTCCCAGGCTCCCTCCCAGCCCAGCCACTGGCAGAGAACTGAAGAACCCAAGATCACCCAAGTTGCTGCAAAAGGGAACCCTCTGCAAAACACAGGAGAGCGTGAAAACACTGAGTGCTGTGCCCAAAGTATCTGGGAAACTGGGGACAAGCCACTGCTCCAGCAAAGGAACACAAACCTGGTAGAAGGAGTGGAAGCTTCGTTCCCCAGGCTGCTGCACGATCACACGGGACTGGGGGAACAAAGCACAGAGCTGGGTGTTAGTGTCCCCTCAGACACCCACATCACCAGGACACCCCTAGTCCATCCCATCTCACACTCAGGCTCTTGGGAACACCATCACACATGTGACCCTGGAGCTTGAGATCTGTAGCCAAAAGCACCAGCTTGTGTAACAGCTGCAATGTCCTACTTCTACTCAGGAATCCCATGTGGGAACTACAGGGTTGCTTTCATGGAAAAGTCAAATAAAAAAACACCATTTTAGTTTTAGAATTATTTAATCACTGGAAATGAAAACCAGGACTCTGTGACTACAGACAAGAGCTCAGGGCCTGGTGGTCACCACTCCTACACCCCCAGGACAGGCTGCCCAGAGCAGCCAGCTGCACAAAGGAATGCTCTGCTCTGACACAAGGGCCTTGTTTTAGGGACCCTTAGCTCCATTCCAGAATCCTCATTCCAGACCAGAGTAAAACAGCACAAAGAAGGGTTAAAAGCAGCAGACATTCAGTCAACAAGCAACATGTCCTTATTTTATGCTACAAATTTGAACTATGAAGAGTGGTGAGGAACAAAGCTGTGTAGGGGAGGTTTAGGCTGGATCTCAGGGAAAGGTTCCTCCCCCAGAGGTGCTGGCACTGCCCAGGCTCTCGAGGGAATGGTCCTGGCCCCGAGGCTGCCAGAGCTCCAGGAGTGCTTGGACACCACTCCCAGGGATGCACACGGTGGGATTCTTGGGGTGTCTGTGCAGGGCCAGGGGCAGGACTGGATGATCCTGGCGGGTCTCTTCCATCCCAGGATATTCCATTATTTGATGTGTTCCTGCTGCAAAGCCGCTGTCTGTTACTGCTTGCATTTGAGCCAGAGCCTCCACTGCTTTCAAATGGAAACAAATTTAACTTGGGAGAAGTTAAGGATATGAAATAAACAATCAGGATAAATAAATTATCAGGATTTAAGTCACTGCAGCTGTAGTCCCAGCCCTCTTTTTACATCAAAGTAACCCAAGTTAAATGTTTGGGTTTGTTGTTTTGTTTTTTAAAATAAAGTGTTTATTCTGAAAATAGACTTCAGGGAAATAAGGGGAGAAGTAAAAAAGAAACACAAACAAAAAATGGTGTTGGCAGATGTGGTCAAACACATAATCAAAGCCAGACGTGTCTCACACAGCAAGAACTGTTAACAGCTCACGCCTGAGCTCTCCAGTTTTGCATATTCCAATGTTTTCAGACACCACTTAATGACACAAGAAAAATAATTATGCTCAGGATCACTTGGAATATATAAAAACAACACTGCTAACAGCTCACCCAAGCCTGTGGCGTTATTCCAAAATAACACTTCCCAAGCACACTTGTTCCCTACAGCCCTGAAGATCTCCTTCTCCAGGGAGACCTCAGTGCAGGAATTACAAAGCAGGAGCTGTGCAGAGGGTAAATTGTATCCAAAAGAAAAACTGAGATTAAACTTCACACACCCACACACACAAAATCCTTTGGGTAACACAGCCCCGTTGCTGCTGAGCTCTGGAAGTCGTGGTGCTCCAGGAACTGCCAGCACTGCAGTGGCTTTCCTGACTCCTGAGGAAAACTTAAGCCCTGGGTTTATTTTCTGTGCCCTGATACCTCACCTGCTGTACATGTTTGAATGGCAAACTTTCTACTGAGAAAGCCCAGATTGAAAAAGTAACTCCAGCAAAGGCTGTAACCCTAGAAGGGAGAGTGCCTTACCTTTTCTAGCAGGTAATTATTGATGTGCCCACCTATGGGGTCTCCCTTGAAATCAAAGTTGATGTCCATGTACTTTCCAAACCGGCTGGAATTGTCGTTGCGGTTTGTTTTGGCATTGCCGAAGGCCTCCAGCACACAGTTGGATTTCAGCAGGATGTTTTTCACTCTGCAGCAGAGATGGAGGGATGGAAAAGGGTAAGACTTCGACACTCACACCACGGGATTTTTCTTTCACAGCCATTTCTCCACAAGAATTCAATGATAGCAGTGATGCTCTTTGATGGCAAATTTGGGCAGGTGTGGGTGACATCAGCAATCCCATGGGAAATCAGCTAGGAGCTGTCAGCAACACTCCTCAAAGGAAGAAAATGCTCTTTGGTTCAAAGACCAGACCCCCACCCTGAAATCAGCACCAGAAATTCAGCTTCTATACACATTTGAATTCTGAAACCAATGTTCTGAACTCTTTTTCAAGTCATTTTCAAAAGTTCATTTGGGGTAGGTTTAAGTCTGTTTCTGCAGAAAGCCACATTCTTTACTCCAAAGCTTTTACTCCAGGACAGAGAGGGACATTTTTCAATTCAGAATCATGCGAGCCTGGAAGGTCACGGAATACACTCCTTGCACTCCACATGGTGTTCTAGCCCACCCAAATTTCAGGCAATTTGCCCCAGGAAAAGCGATTTAGAATAATTTCATTGGGCAAAGACCTCTAAGATCATTGACTCCTGCCATTAGATGGTTGATATTGCCTGGATGGTATTTCTAGATGCTGTTTTGATTTGGAAAGCTTGACCTTTCAAAATAAACTTTTAAATATGATTTCAGCAATTAATACTGCAAAATACCCTAAAAGCAGTACCTGAAAAAGTTAAGTATAAATCGGCATGTACAAGAGACCATCTGATAATGTAATGCTACACAGCCCACAGAAAGAGATCTACAAGCAGGAGACTTTCCCTTCTTTTCCAGCCCAGGCCTTACCTCTCCACCTCAGCCCTCTGCCCGGGGTTGGTGATGGCTGCTATGTACTGCATTATGTATTTACTGGCCTCAGTTTTCCCAGCCCCGCTTTCACCTGGGGGCAGAAACACCACGGTGACCAAACAGACGAAAAAAAGAAAAACAAATCATTGGACAGAAGATCTCAATTCTACCCCAACAGTGCCTGGGCAGTTTGGTTTTTCCTTTTTAAAGCAATCTTTGTGTGCACTTGGGACGTTTTCTAAACACAGCCATACCCCTGCCTGGCTGCTGTTGGGCTGACTTTGAGCAATTGTGCTGTGAGATTACACAGGTCGGGAAAAGGGCTGGCACACAGAGGATCAAAGGAATATTGTTAGAGGAGAAAGCCTGGCCTGCAGCAGCACAAGGGGCCACTGTTCAGCACCCCAGCCCGGGGCTCTCTCCTTTCAGAGCCGCCTGAGCACGGGGACATCAAGGAGACAAAGTGCCAGGATCCAGCCACGGATCACTCTGGTACCAGCCCTGCTCCCACTGCTGCAGCCACGGCCTTTCCAATGGGAAACAAACAGCGGCCAGTCAGGCCAGCGACAAAAATCAGCAGCTCCTGATCACCAGCCCAGCTCTGCTGATCCCAGGTCACTGTCCGGAACAGACACAGGGCTCCTGCTCACGTTATCCCTCTGCAGGCACAGATCCAGCTCTTGAATGAGATAAGAAATAATTGTGCCGATCTCCACACACGGATTCAAATGCAAATGAGCAGCTTTAAGCTTAATGAAGTTTCTTTTATAAAACGCTGTCATTAGCCAAACCATTATTCTCCTTCCGCCTGGAATTTCACACAGATCAGATGCTCATCACCATGCAGAGCCCTCCCAGCCTACCTGAGATGACAATGCAGGTGTCTTTGGATCGTCTCTTCATGGCTTTGTAAGCAGCATCAGCGATGGCAAAGAGGTGGGGAGGCCTCTCGTAGAGCTCCCTGCCCTTGTACTGCTCGATCGTGTCCCGCCCGTAGATGTTCAGGTTCTTGTAGGGATTCATGGAAACAACCACCTCCCCGATAAAGGTGTAAATCCGGCCCTTCTCGAAGCTGCCCAGAGGAGACAAAAATCAGGAATCGGTGAGCTCTTCCATCCACCACCCTATGGAAACAGGAGAATAAAACCCTGGCTCTGGACAATCCCCAGCAGGGATGGCACAGCAGCAGAGACCCGGGGGTACAAGGACAACAACCCAGGGCTGGAGTTCCACCACCTACAAAGGACATTTCTACCTCCACTTCACTTCCAGATACACAATATGGAATTCACAGTTTGACTATAAGTGAACATGAGTTGAGGAGCAAATTTAATCTGCTTCATAAAGGGGATTTACAGGCAAATTATTTTTTCATATTCTGTAGTTGTTCATGGCCCAGCTCAGGCCAGAGAGCAGAAGTTCTGAAGCCCTCACTGAGAGGTCTAATCACACTTGAAAGTAAACAAAGAAGCCCAGGAGGGAATTGCAGCCTCTCAGCTCTAGCAATGAGTCTTTTTTGCTGGAAGGCACTTTGGTATCATCACTGCTGCTACACCAGAGAGGAAAAATTTCTAAGACTGTGTGCAAACAACCCTAAGTGACACCATTTTTATCCCTACCTGGTTCTTTGATTCTTTCTGCAAACAAGACAGAAAATAACTTGATGTTAGTTAAAAAAAAAAAATAAAAATAAAAGCTTAAGTTAGAAGATGTTTCCAAACAAACTCCCATTTTGTTGAAAGTTACCTATGAGGAGAACTCAGAATAATTCCAGATTAACAGCTGAGTTTACAAACAGCATTTGTTTCTCAGGAGGAGAAAGGACAACAGGTTTAGGGATCAACACACAAACCCTGGATCTCCAGCACCAATCCTTGTCTGCAGCTGTATTTAAACCTCGGGACATTAGATGGCACCAGAACCCCTCCACAGAGCCCAGGAGCCTCGAATCCTGATGGACTCCGGCACAAATTTCAGCATTACTTTATTGAAATTTATTACCACCCCCATGTGGTGACAGCCCTGACATTTTCTATTGTTCATTTGAGAATTTTCTGCAGCATCTTGGCAGTGTTAGTTTTTAGCAGGTGTAATAAAACTCAAGAAATATCATCCAGCAACCAGCATTTCACTTTCTAGAGGTGCTGGTGCCTTCCACTCCAGCTTCCTCCTGGAACACTGCACTGGGAAGACAGAGAATTGCAAAACATCCTCTTGCTCCTACATCACTTTTACCTGAAGGTGTCCTGATATGCATTTCCCAAAATAATAATGAGCTTAAAATGCGAAGATATTTTACATTTTCTGAGATATATTCTGTTTGAATGGTACAGTAATGTTTTAGAAAAGATAAAGTCAACATAATTAGCAATACCAATACCCCTAATTTTATTTTTTTTGGAAGATCCTGAACAGGTAGAAGTGCAAAGGGATCACATACCAGGCTGGGAGCCCATGAGGGACTCTGCATACACAGAGGAGAGCTTGAAAAACCAAACCCACATAACACTGCTGGTATTAAGGAGATCAAGTCACACTGGGACATCAATATGTAATGGAAACCACAAGGACATCACAATGAGCAGAATTATTCCACCTCCTGGAGATGGACACCCAAAAAAGGTGAGTTACCCAATGGAGATCACCGAGCCTGCTCTCCCAAGTGCCTGCCCAGCAGCACAGAACTGCTGCTCGAGGCACTGCTGATGCTGAAAATAAAGATCCAGCAGATTGTGGATGAGGTTTGAAGCCCCAGGAGCAGCTGGAGGGTTCATGGCCACAGAGAGGGTGAGGGGGGTTGTTTTAGCTGAAGAGAAATAAAGAAAGAAAGGCCACTCCTGCTGCAGTGTCGTGCCACGCCACCATCACAGCACCCAATACCCTGACCTCTTCCTTAAGTAATGAATTATGTAAACTTGCATTGCCAGAGCCCAGTTTAAGTTTCCTCCCATGAGAGCTCAGCGTCCCTGAGTGAATCATAGAATCAGGGAATGTGCTGAGTGGGAAGGGACCCCCAAGGATCATCCAGTCCCACCCCTGGCCTGCCCAGACAACCCAACAATCCCAGTCCTGGGAGCAATCCCAGCCCTGGGAGCAATCCCAGCCCTGGGAGCGGTGTCCTAAGGCTCCTGGAGCTCTGGCAGTCTCGGGGCCAGGACCATTCCCTGGGGAGTCTGGGCAGTGCCAGCACCCTCTGCCTCCAAGCAGAAGCTCCAGATCTGTCCCTGCAGTCTGTCCCTGCTCCGGAGGGGCTCCAGCTGGGATGCTGGCACAGGCTCACATCCTGCCTGCCACTTCCCCACAGCTCAGCTCAAACAGCAGGTCCCACATTGGGCCTCCAAGCCAAGTTCTAAAAAGTTTTACTGGGCTCTGTTGAGTTGTGTCTTCAGCTCTGTGGCAAAAGGCAGATGGAGATGAGGGGGAAGAAGGATCTGCCTCCAGGCTTGACAAACAGGCACCTCTCCAGCCTGGCTTTGGGGATACAGACTTTATGAACAAGCGACGCCTCCGTTTACATTTCAGTTCATTTCTCTTTCTTTCCTAGCACCAGAGTTAAACTTGCAGAGCTGTGCTCAGATGTTCCCACCAGGAGCTCCAGCTCGTCGCCCCTCGTTGCTGATAAAGCCCCTTTTCATCCCTGAGCATGGCTCAGCACAGCAGCAGGCCAAGAACAGCAGGGCCTCTCTTCCTGCACAGCTCGGGTGGGAGAGCCGGGTTTGCCCTGCCCATGGAGAGCTCAGAAAAGCTTAAAAAAACAACCCACGAGGGCAGTGCAAATGGGGAGCTTTGAGCTGTGTTAAACCTATGATTCCTCGGCAGGGCAAGGTCACAAAACAAGACCATGAATCCATTTGGTGCTTTTCACAGCCAGCACAGGCATTTTAGTGCTGAGATGTAACACACAGAACTGGGATTTCGTTACTCAAAGCAACAACAGTGCAGTTCCTTGATAAAAAAAAAAAGCTCCTTAATAAAAGGAACCCCAGGATCCACTCCTGGGGTGACACCCCTGGGTCAAACCTTGTTTTGTATCTCATGGAAGTCACATCAGCTTGTGCTACAACAAAACATTTCCCTGCAATTGTTCCATTTGAATAATTTCTGTATCAATGTCATAGAACGAATCATGGACTATCCTGAGTGGGAAGATATCCCCAAGGATCACCCAGTGCCACCCCTGGCCCTGCACAGACACCCCAACAATCCCACCCTGGCTATCCCTGGCAGCGCTGTCCAAACCCTCCTGGAGCTCTGGCAGCCTCAGGGCTGTGCCCAGTCCCTGGGCAGTGCCAGCACCTCTGGGGGAAGAACCTTCCCTGAGATCCATCCCCAGCCATTCCCTGGATCCTGTCCCTGTCACAGGGAGCAGAGATGGGAGCTGCCCCTGGGGAGGAGCTGCAGCCCCAATGAGTCTCCCCTCAGTCCCCTCTTCTCTCCAGCAGCTCAGCAGCCAAAAAGCAGTTCACAGTATTTAATCCATGTGGGTTATTTTGAGGAGGAACAGCAGCTCTTTCATGAGAAGTTTTTAATTACCTCATTAAAACATCAATCGATAATGAGAAAAAAAACAGTGAGTCACAGAACATAAATAATTTTAAGGGAGAGAAATTCTTCTCTAGGATAGAAGTCCACTAAGGCAAGAAATACACTTTTACTTTGTTTTGTAGTTTTTATTTTTAGGGAAAGAGTTGGGAAAAAAGGGATCTTTAAGTCTAGACAAGGTATATTCACATGCAGTTGCTCGTGGAAAATACACTGCAGAAATGGGAACACTGAAGCAGAAATCTCCACCACCAGAGAGCACTCACATTTAGGATTTCCTCCACCTGACAAACACTCTAGTCAAAAATAAAACTGTTCTTACCGAGGAAATGATGCAACTTCAAATGCACTCAGTACAAATAAAGAAAAGTTAGTTGGCAAGACTTGGAACCCACACTCCCAAACAACATCTGCAGGACGGGACCGTTGCACAGAGGCGCCTCACCGAGCAGGAGCCCTCACATCAGACAGGGAATTCCTAATTAATCATTGACATGTAACTCCTCTGCTCCAGAAGCCAAAGAGCCCTTGGGGGAGCACTGCCAGCCCTGAGCACCAGGCAAACAGCTCCTCACTAACACACGTTGGCAGCCCACGACCATCTGTCCAACAGCCCAGGCACAGAGCTGGAGAAACAGGGCAGGTCACCGCTTTGCTGTCCCTTTAGGAGAGCTGAAGCACAGGTATTGCTATTCTGGATAATATTCTACTGGGAAAAGCCCTTCTCTGGTCCTGGACTGCTCTGTTCTCAGCACTGCTCACCGACTGGCAGCCCATTCTGCTTTACAGGTACACCAAAGCTTTACCCGTTAGCAGGTGCTCCCTGAAGCTCCTTGGGCTCAGCCCTTCCTGATGCTCCACAGGTCCCCCAGGACAGACCCTGCTCAGTCAGTCACAGCACAGACACCCCCTGAGATGGTCTTTCAGTTTGGCTGTGCAGCAGTGCCTTAAAGGAAAGGAAACGTTAAAGAAAAGCAAATAATTCAGGACAGAATCCAGAGTGCTACAGCTCCCTCAGCTGTGCTAGTCAGCAGCAAACCCAGTCCCAATGAGGATTAAGATAATCAAAACTGGTGGTTTCAAACTATTCTCTATTTCCAGCTTATTTCTGAATTCCAAAGCACAAAGTGAAATATTGAGTATGGGCACACAGCTTTTTCTTCCTCCTCTGTGCATGGGAAGAATGATCCAGGAGCTGCACACCTCTACCGTGTGGAGAAGGGACAATTCCTTTTCCTGTTGTAAACATCCCACCTGGTTTGGGTTGCTCTTCTAAATGGGGTAACAAGCCTCAGTTATTTTTTCCATTAAATATTAACATTAAAAGTCATATACATTAAAAGTCCATGACTGCAGGCTTTGAGAGTCTGTTCTCTTTGCAAACCCACATGGAGACATTTAATTAAAACCTGTGTTCATGAGGAGATGTTCATGGACAGCCAAGGATGGGCCTTTAGGATGTGTTCAGAAGGAAAGGAATGTAAGCAGGCTTCTGACAGTGAAATCATATTTACCTGGTTTGTAAGTGCA